CAACCCCAGAAAACTCCTGATCTCGGTGGGGGATCTCGGCACCTCCCAACTCATGACAGCCTCAATCTTTGCCGGATCGACCAATATCCCATTCTGATTAACGAGATGTCCCAGGAACTGGACCTCTCGTAACCAGAAATCACACTTGGAGAATTTGGCATAAAGCCTCTCCGATCTCAATACTCCAAGGATCTCCCTCAGGTGCTCCTCATGCTGCTCTCTGGTCCTCGAATACACTAGAATGTCGTCGATGAACACAATCACCGATCGATCCAACATCGGCCTGCATACTCGGTTCATGAGGTCCATGAACGCCGCTGGTGCATTGGTGAGCCCAAAAGGCATCACCACGAACTCGTAATGCCCATAACGAGTCCTAAAGGCTGTCTTCTGGATATCCTCATCATGCACCCTCATCTGGTGATATCCAGACCTCAAGTCTATCTTGGAAAACCAAGCCGCACCCTGCAACTGATCGAACAGATCGTCGATCCTCGGTAATGGATAACGGTTCTTGACCGTTAATTTGTTCAACTCCCGATAATCAATGCACATCCGGTGTGAACCATCCTTTTTCTTGACAAAAAGGATCGGCGCTCCCCCACGGCGAGCTACTCGGTCGGATGAATCCCTTCCCCAACAGCTCCTGAAGCTGTGAGGATAACTCATGCATCTCCGGTGGTGTAAGGCGATAGGGTGCCTTGGCAATAGGTGCTGCCCCCGGAACCAAATCGATGCGGAACTCCACTTGCCTCTCGGGAGGCACACCCGACAAATCCTCGGGGAAAACATCCGGAAACTCTCGCACTATCGGTACCTCACCGACAGAACTCGGCCTCTCTGCGGCAACTCGTGTATCCATCACATAGGCTACAAACCCTCTACAGCCCTGCTGTAGACTCTGTCTCGCTCTGGCAGCCGAATAAAATGCTGACCGAGACCGGGTACCCTCGCCATACACTGTAAGTACTCCCACACTAGGGTCTCGTATGGTCACCAACTGCCGCTCGCAGTCTATAACAGCTCCAAAAACGGCTCAACCAGTCCATGCCCACGATGACACAGACATCACCCATCGCAATCGGTACCAGATCTATCGGGAACTCAACACCGAAAATATCGAGTACACATCCTCGAATCATATCAGTAGCATAAACCGCTCGCTCGTCAGCTATAGAAACTCGTAGAGGTCGACTCAACGCCTCTCGTCGGGTACAGATGTGCTGGCTAAACGCTAATGACACGAAAGATCGAATCGCACCCGAGTCAAATAACACCAAAGCAGGTACAGAACTCACAGAAAAAGTACCTATGCATACCACAAAATAAGCAAAATATCTCAAACTCAGTATAAGTAAATAAAAGAATACATACCAGCTACGACAACGGGCGCTGCACGGACCTCCTCCGCTGTCAACTGAAAGGCTCTCCCGCGAGCCTTCGGTGCCTCGGCCTTCGCTGGCCGGACCTCGGTAGCTCTAGCAGCAGGTGCAGATCCCTGAAGTAGCTGCGGGCACTCGGCCTTCTGATGGCCTGTCTGATTGCAGTGAAAGCAAACCGAAAATCCCTTGGGGCAATCCCTCGCGATATGCCCCTCCTTCCCACACTTGTAGCACACACCCGCTCTGCACGTCCCATCATGGCTCTTGCTGCACTTCCCGCAAGTGCGGCCCTTCGGACCTCTAGATCTCGAATCAGCGGGCTTCGCCCGCTTGGCTGCCGGCTGAGACTGTACCGGCCGCCTATCCCTCCTCTGAGACTCGGCCTCCTCCCTGGCCTGAGTCTCTAGCTCAATCTCCCTCTTCCGGGCATTCGCCTGGAGCTCGGCAAATGTCCGGTATGTCGAGTTCGCCACGAAATCACGAATGTCCCTCCTCAGTATGCTCAGATATCGGCTCATACGTGCCTGCTCGGTAGACACGTGCTCAGGGCAAAACAACACCCTCTCATGAAACATCCGTGTAATCACAGTCACGGACTCCGTCCCCTGCTTGAGGGACAAGAACTTTTACGCCAATCTTTCCCTCTCCACCGGGGGAACATACTCATCTCGGAACATGGTGGTGAACCTCTCCCAGGTCACCGCTGTAATCTCTGCAGGAGTGAAGTCTGCCGTAACAAACTTCCACCAGTCCTTTGCTCCCAAGCGAAGCTGGTTCAACGCGAACCGAACTCTCAAATGCTCCGGACAAGAACAGGTGTAGAAGCATCCCTCAATGTCAGAGATCCACCTCATTGCGGCTATCGGATCATGAGTCCCATCAAACTCTGGTGGCTTCGTGTTGTTGAACTCTCGGTACAGCAACGAGTCACCCCCTGTGGCCTGGCAGCGGTGACGGCTGCGGTGGCTGCAGCAACAGCAGCCTAGGTGAGAGAAGCATACTGCTCGTCAAACGTCTCAATCAAAGTGGTCTTGATAGACCCAAACATCTCAGGAATCTCCGCTCGTATGGCTGCGGCCACCTCCTCGTGAATCAACCTACGGATCTCCTCATCACTGGTACGACTGGTACCACTGCCCCCTGGGTGGTGGCGCGTCCCAACCATGATGTCTTTGAAATGCAACACAAAAGAAGTCAGAAACTCGCTCGAGTATACTCGCACTCGATACTCAACCCTACTTGTTCTTTAGTACCCAAAGGATTCTTACTTGGACTGCTCACCCTCCGGTGTTTCCAGTAGTACGGGCCCTATACTACCTTCCACAACGCATCAGTATTCACCCCAAGTCCTCCTCCTAGGATCCCAGATCACAAGTACTCTATATCTCACTAAACTTAGGCTACCCTCCAGTAGACCACTCATAAGCTCCTCGCTGCTACCTACTCACTCTCGAAGTATCTCATAGTAGCAGTAACTCCTAGGCTAAGGAATCACAAAATCAGGCCCACTCTAGTCCTAACTATGAATACCTAGCCTACTCTAGCATGCATAACATATCACATAATATCTCATAACACATAATGTAAGGGTATTTTGGGAAATCACCGTTCGGCCGCTGGCTGATTGTACACACTGCTCCGTTCTGCGTTTCTCAAGAATCTTTTTCTCTTTTTAGAAAAATTGTTTCTTTTATGCAAAATTTCTCAAATCCTCAGTTTGAGTTCACATATGCCCGAAGGTGCATCCGAATCCCCCAAACCAAGGCTCTGATACCAACTTGTAACGACGTAAATTTTAAAACAATTTTTCATTTTTCCACATAATAAAACTCATATAATATTCTCAAAATCTCATGTATCAAATGTCATCATAATAAAACATATCCCAGAATCTCAAAACATAATTCTCTGCCAGTGTGTACAAATCATGACGACGCCTTCCCGCGATCCTCGCTGGTACCTGAAACACATATCACATAACACGGTAAACATAAATGCTTAGTGAGTTCCTCAAAATACCACATACAACACATAAGCCACTCGAGGCTATAACTCGGTATGACCCTCTGGTCAATGTGTCTCAGCGGGACCCTCCAGTCCCGTAGCTCGTTGGACCCTCCAGTCCGGTCTAGCTCGTTGGACCCTCCGGTCCGGTCTAAATCGTTGGACCCTCTGGTCCGGTCTAAATCGTAGGACCCTCCGGTCCGGTCTATATAACACATAGCATACATATATTACAAGCACATAAACTCAACATACACATAACACATAAGACCCTCCGGTCTGCACATAGTTACCACTCTAGGTAATGTATAGTGAGAAGACTCACCTCAGGTAATCTCGGAAAGTCTCGAACTCGAATATCTGATCTAGCCTCCGCCTAATCACATAAAGTAATTATCTCTAATTAATACGGCTCTCAAAGGCTAGACTAGTCCCTCCCTATATTCTCTCAGAAGGGGAAAATACCATTTTGCCCCTCCAATGGTCCAATGTCCAAATGTTGACCAAACCCTAAAAGTCAACCCCAGTCAACGGTCCAACTTTGACCAGACTCGTCGACTGCACTCAGGTGACTCGGCGAGTCCATGCGTGTCCTCTGAATCCTCCTAAGGCCTCACTCGACTCGTCGAGTTAACCTTTCTCTCGACGGGTTACCACTGATCACGAATCGTGGTGCAACACGATCCGACTCGTCGAGTCCGCTCATGGACTCGGCGAGTTTCTTCCATGAGAATGCTCAAACGACCTTCTAAGGTCAGATCTGTTTCTCTAACTTATAGATCTGGCCTTCTAACACTCAAAAGTTACGTAAAGGTCCAAACTTTATGCTCATGCAACACTCATATGGCTATATATGATGATTTAGCCCTAATATGACAACCATGTTCTAAAACCCAAAAAGGAACTACATAAAGTTGGATGTTTGGGGCTCTCTGGACCTCTCAAGGTCCAGATCTAAGGTCTATTTCACATTAGGACCTCTCATGCTCTTATTCCAACTCAAGAAAGGGTAAAGAAACCCTTGATTCAAGAAGCCTACACAATAAAGAAGAAAAGGGCCGAATTGCTACCTCAAAGTGAAGCTTCCTTGCTTGAAAGTCTCAGAACAACAACCTCCTTTGGTCCTTCTTGCTGGATCACTTCTCCTCCTTAGCAAAATCACAACAAATAGATCAAGATGGCTCTCTCTCTCTCTCTCTCTCTCACTACCCACGCTCAAATATGCTAGGGTTCTTTCTTCTGGGAAGGTAGCCGCCACTGAAGGCTATAAATGCCTTTAAATAGGGCTCAGGCCCAAAGATTTAGGGTTTCTGCCAACAGCGCGGACTCGTCAAGTCGCCTCACTGACTCGTCGAGTCCATTCATTAATCCGAGTCATCAATCGCGATCCTACTCGACGAGTCTAGGCATCAACTCGTCGAGTCCCTCTTCTCAACTCAAAATAAATATTTAAATTATGATACCTGGAAATCCGGATGTTACATATATAATTATATATTACCCGTGAAGACCAGGGGGTAGATGGGTGGTATACATTTGTTAAGCCTAATTTTCTAGCAGCTGAAGCAGTGGTTTCACCAATGCATGCAAACAGAACCCTCCCATGTCTGTGGTTCAGGTAGAAGATCCACCAAAGCAGTGTTGTAGAATAAGAGAAAATATAAGCTGAAATACAAAGAAAATAGTAAGAGAATTTAGCATCAGAATATTAATTACCCAACTGTAGAAGGTGATGCAACTGCAACTACAGAAGCAGAGAGTGCTTGTTGTAGAATGGTTTGATCCACATGTTGTACAGGTTCCTAAAGTACAACAAACCAAAAATAATGTAACATAACTTCCCTTGATATTAATAAGAATGTGAAATGCCACATCAAAAATTTGTCAGAACTAAAACTTTTTGTAACTATTCAATCTTGTGATGTGGAATCCACGCTTAGAAAGACCTTCCTCTGTTTGATTTTAGTACATATATGACCTCATGAGATAGTGAAAATGTCATATGTATAAACATATATAATTATGAAGATGAAATGTTATGGAAGAGAAATAAACTAAGGAGTTAAAGGGTGTACCTATATCATGACCAACTTTTGCAGAGGCAGGATACAACACAGTGCATCTTTCATTCCCTTGCTTTGGAGGCTCTGAAGCAAGAACCTTGCCAGTTGCTGTGAAAGAAGATCATAAAACTAAATTTTATCTTCTACAGATGTTTGGAGTGATAGTATGGAATTTAGAAGGAAGAAATTTATTTACAGATAGTACCTTTTGATGGAGTAAAGGCAACTTCAATAAACTGCTCAGATGAAGGTGTAGCTTCATGAAATATGGTTGCTGTACCAGTTCCAACTGCAGCTACCTTCACATTTGGGGTCCCAGCAGCTCTATGATTGTAGATGACATGAGAGTAACTGGTCAATCGACTAAAAATAAAGAAATAAATAAAAAGATGGCATGGAGCCATTGCAACTTGAAATTATAGATGGGTAATTTCTGAACTTACTTCCATGCTTGAAGAAAAACCAGAGCTGCCTCTGGTGAAGTTACCTTGAATTGCAAAGTTCTGTTAATGGCATCAAAAAACTCCATTGCAACACGACCTTCTACAGAGCTAAGTGCATAACCTACAAAACATCATCTTAACAAGCCTTTTGAACATCTCCCCAAGACTACTGTAATCTTTTAGAGAAATGCCACATAGGATTAGGACATAAAATGCCCAAATGGAAGCCCACAAAAAGAAAAGAAAAACTCGTCTTCATGAGAAAATTATTGGATTTAATGATTTTCTATTCTGAATCTGAGCATCAATAATATATGGGAACAGTTTCCTTGGTGGTGTATCAAGACCAGAACCTACTAAAAGAACCAACTGAATATATATATATATATATATATATATATATATATCATGTAAAAGAATTGAAGGTTAATGTAGTAAAAGGAGAGGAAAAGGGTATAATTGTCAATTTTTCATACAGGAATGACTAGAATAACAGGATAGAGAGACAAATGAGATGCAATCACCCATCCAAAAGCAGCCAATGGAACAAGTCCTATTGCAATTAGAATCAAGAACATTAATCCTATTATTATTATTAGAAATATAAAATAGTAATTATAAATTAAAGGGTTTAAAAGGTCTTACTCATGCAAGCCCCATATATATTGATAATACAGTCACTAGATTTGTCATACATGAATGACTAGAATAACAGGATAGAGAGACAAATGAGATGCAATCACCCATCCAAAAGCAGCCAATGGAACAAGTGCTGTTGCAATTAGAATCAAGAACATTAATCCTATTATTATTATTAGAAATATAAAATAGTAATTATAAATTAAAGGGTTTAAAAGGTCTTACTCATGCAAGCCCCATATATTGATAATACAGTCACTAGATTTTCGATTGGTGATGTTGAATATCCCAAACAAGTGATTATGGTCAAAGGATTCCATAAGTAAACAAGAGCAACTATATCACCAGATGGAAAATTTTCTACAAAACACAAACTTCATCAGCTTTTTTTCAAAAAATAAAATAACATAAAGTTGTTACTGAGAGGAAAACCTGAAACATTAAGATGTGTAGTGGCTCCTAAAGATTTCAGGCTTTTGATATCTGCTACTTGAAGAAGCTGGCCAATTGCACGAATGACAAGATTTACAAAGCAAAGATAAGTATAAAGATTTCAAATTCTCTTTGATTTTGCCACCTTACCCGCATAAAAGATGATTTGACTTCCCTTCACCTCTGCAAACCGAGTAACAAGCAATCATAAGTATATCAATATCAAATGATCAGATCATATCACACATAGTAATGTTCTACATCTCCATAAATAAGATCCTACACTAAACTAATCACCTACATGATACATCACATGCTAAATGTTCATATTGTTTATTATTTTAGATATGAAGATGAAATAGTACTAACTACACATCATATGATCATTGAAAATTCAAAATTATTCCTCGTCAAGCACTCCCAAACTTTGAAGAAAAGAGAAAAGAGAGATTTTGGAACACACTTTGGTTTTTGTGATCGAAGAGACTTATTTTGAATGTGATAAATTATACTAAAAGCTATGAGAAATACTGCAAACAGAAAAATAATTGGTGCCATTGCATCAAAAAACTCCATTGCACGCTCCTGTGCACCTCCACCACGTGGGTCCCAACACTTCAAAGTTTTGTCCCAACTCCCTGTAATCACTTGCCCTAAAAACCACCAACAAGAAAAAGAATTGAAAACACAATGATGTAATAGAAGGAAAGGAAAGTATAAATGTATGATGATATTAACAAAATGAAAACAAATGATGGAATGAATGACACTAACCTGTTGCATAAGAGTACTCGATACAGCGAACATGGGCATCATGGCGTCCCAAAAGATCCTCCCTTTCGTGGTCAAAAACAAGCCTGAGAGATGGTAAAAGGAATGTAGCTTGAAACTTAGTCAAGAAAAAGATAAGTCAATAATCCAAGAAAGTATATGCATCATTTAGTCATACCTTGTGACAGTGTTATCTGCACTAGCACTAAACCAGAGTATCATCATGAAAAGCAGCATCAAGAACTGCACCTCCATGAAGGAACTCTCCTCTTAACACATTGGCACTTGCATCATATAAGGGAACACGCTGTTACAAACAAATAACAGGTTATGATCTTTATTCTTGACCGCCAAAGTGAAGCGGCTCCTCCTGCCAACTAAGCTTTCCGGTAGTACCAATGATGGCAAGAAAATTGACAAAACCGATGATTTCACCTAATCAAACATATTGTGTGTTTCTTGTTCATCCCCTTTCCCGTTTCCATGTGTCTTTGTTCCTAATTAACCCTAGTCGATTATTTCACCTAATCACACATCATCAATTGTTAGTTTCACCAAAAATCGGAAGTTTGTTCCTTCGATCGTAAATGAAATAGAGAGAAATTAAGCCGGAAAGAAAAAGAGATTTAGCAAGATAGGGTTCTTATAGAAGAACGAAAACATTAGGAAGTTAGAATCAAGAAAAACATTCCTTAATAAGACATAGGGATTGTAAATTTGAGCAATAGAAGCAGTGAGCCTAAGGTCACCAGACCTAATGTTGCTGGCAAGGGCAGGCGATGTGAGATTGCCGGAGAGGAGGGGCTCCACCGGCTGGATGTCGCTGGAAAGCGTTGGACGGTGGGGCGGGGCTGGACGGAGGTCAGAGGTGGGAGGCGCCAGCACCAAGAGAAACGTCGGAGGTGGGAGAAGCTGTCGACGTCGAGAACTGAGAAGAAGAGAAAGGGTTTGTCGAAGTGAGAAGGAGAGAAAGGGAAGTTGAAGAGACAACGAGCAGTAGAGGAGGACGGTCGGGGCAAGTTCTTGACAAAAAGCCCTAGCTACTAGGGAAACAAAAAGCGACGGTCTTAGACGACACGCATTTTATTATAGGTGCCCTCCGTGTTTTTTTTAGACACTAATTTTAGGGCACGCAAAAATGCGCGTCCTAAATCCTTTAAATTTTGGAAGAGATGACATTATTTTTTCGACACACACATTTGCGTATCATAAATCACTGCGTGTCATGGTTCGCGCGTCGTAAAAGGCTGTTTTTCTAGTAGTCATGCCCCTTGATTAAAATCGACTTATATTTGAAGATATGTATAAATTGATACTAATACCCTTAATAAATGTTATGATAAACACACGACAGACAAACACAAGGGTGTAACGACGTAAATTTTCAAACCAAATTTTTCATTTTAAAACACAATAAATCACATGTCACATTTTCTCAAAAATCGCAAGTATCAATTTATCAACACATTTCAAACCAAAAATTTTCATTTTAAAACACAATAAATCAGATGTTTGTCACAACTCCAGGATCCTCCAAAGACATAAGAACCTAAAACACATAACACATAACACGGTAAGCACGAAGCTTAGTGAGTTCCCCAAAATACCACATACAGCACATAAGCCACCCGAGGGTATAACTCGGTATGACCCTACGGTCAATGTGTCTCAGCGGGACCGTCCAGTCCCGTAGCTCGTTGGACCCTCCAGTCCGGTCTAGCTCATTGGACCCTCTGGTCCGGGTCTTAATCGTTGGACCCTCCGGTCCGGTCTACTCGAGGACCCTCTGGCCTCGTAAGTCGTTGGACCCTCCGGTCCGGTCTATATAACACATAGCATACATATATCACAATGCACATAATCTCAAACATACACATAACACATAAGACCCTTCGGTCTGCACATAGATACCAATCTAGGTAATGTATAGTGAGAAGACTCACCTCGGCTAGCAGGTGAGCAAATAACCTCGCGCTCGGATCTCGAACTAGCCTCCTCCTAACACAAAGGATGAATATCTCTTATTAATACTCTTTTCACGACTCAGATAATCGAAGGCGGTTCTTTCTCTTTTCTAACTCTTTAAAGTGGGTAAAAGACCATTTTACCCCTCCAAGGTCTCTATCACATATGTTGACCAAAACCCCCAAAGTCAACAGGAGTCAAACTCGAGTCAACAGTCCAAGTTTGACCCGACTCGTCGAGTGCACTCCTGCGACTCGTCGAGTCCCCTTGTATCCTCAGAAGTCTCAAAAGTCCAGCTCAACTCGTCGAGTTGACCCCCAATTCGCCGAGTTATCGCACAATCAATCCATCGGGACAAACCCTCGCCAACTCGTTGAGTCAGGTCATGGACTCGGCGAGTCCCTTTGATCTGATTTCTCATTCAGACGATTTCAACCAGATCTATCACTCTAAACTATAGATCTATCATCACAAGGCTCAATAATTACGTAAAGCTTCGATCTTTACGTTCATACATGATGTTATTGCTTCAAAATGCCAATACATGCTCTTCATGAAGGTTTTTGCTCATCAACCCTCATTTGGACCACTAAAGCTGAGACATCTAGACTCTAAGGACCTTAGGAGGTCCAGATCTGAGGTTTCCAACCACAACCAGGTCTCATTCGACTCATAGATTCAAAAGGATGGAAACAAAGACCTAAAACTCCCAAAATGAGATTTAGTACAAGGAATGAACAAGATGAGGACTTTGTATCTTCTCTTAGCAGCTGAAACACTCGATACCACAGATCCACTGCCTTCCTTTGTTCCCCATCATGAAGCTCTTCACCCTTATTCATAGAAATGCACCAAGAACCACCATATGAGCTTCTCTCTCACTCTCTAGCTCCAATAGCAATTTGGGTTTGCTCTCAGGGGAAGGTAGCCGCAAATGAGGCTATAAATGCCTTTAAATAGGTCCCAAACCCGGGAAATTAGGGTTTCTCTGCCCAGCACCTACTCGGCGAGTCCCTCCTCTGACTCGTCGAGTCCATTCATTAAATCCACATAAGCAACTCGACTCGACTCGGCGAGTTGGTCCCTCAACTCGTCGAGTCCCTCCTTAAATCTCAAGATTAACATACACAATAATGTCCCTGAAAATCCGGATGTTACAATTCTCCCCCACTTGAATTAGATTTCGCCCTCGAAATCGCTCCTCCACAACATATAGATCTAATCAAATAACCAAACAACACCATCGAAAGGGTCTCCTACCACACAACTATCTTCCTTTCTGGACACCTGAATCCAAACAGGAACTCCTCCCTGGAAAAGGACAGACCCATCTGCCATTATGCTACCCCTTCTGACTCTCAAGAATCTGGAACTCTAGTATCCTGACACACAGCCAAACCGCCATCTCCAGATGTCACCACGTTATTCGCTCCTCGAATAACAAACCCCGATAGCTCACTGCCCCTCTGATTCTCTAGTGGGACCGATAAAACAAGTCCATGCCCAAAACTGGCTACCGATCACTCGTCCCAGACATGATAAACAATCCAGATCGTATACCAAGGAATGGAAGGATCACATCACACCAGAGACTCATCCACTGAACTGCAATCAAACCCCAGTTCCCTTCTCCAAATCCCTTTGAACACTGAGCACCAGGTCATATCCCGACCTAGCAGTTGAACCTGCAAGGGTTACCCATTGCATACCTCAACATGTCTCACTGACTTCCTTCCCACACTAGCTATCTCGGTCCAGTGTGACACACAAGTCACGAAGTTCGCTTTTCCTCAAGCGAATACGAAATTCGTTTCACCCCCGACCTCTGTCGTCTACTACCAATTAGTCCCATACGTTTCGCGGTTTTCTCACACCAACGAATTGACCCACTCAGGTCTAAGGCACCAGATGGAAGCAATACCCCCTTCCAAATGAAATTCAGCTCTGAATCCGGAATCTCATTCTGCCTACTCAACGCACTGCCAGAGCCAAACTCAAAATCGAGAGTTTGATCTGACCTAGAGCTGGAACCACTCGCCCCAATGAACGACTCAACTCATGACTCATGACCCGCAACCCATGCGTACCTCACTGATTCACTTCCCTTTGGCCACGAAAACCACTACTCAATTCGGAATATAACGACTTCCAACAAACATGGAGACCCCAGTCTCGCCCCTGGTTCGACCCCAGGCTTCCACAAACTCAAATATTAGGGCTACCCAAGCCTAAAACCCTCCTGCGTAAAGCTCTGAACAGAGAGCACTTCATCACAACATTCTCTCGCTGACTAGTGGGTAGTACGGCTCCCTGCAGTATCACAACGACCTCTCACTGAATAGTGAGTACTACGGCTCCCCGTAGCATCACCACACCCCTCACTAAATAGTGAGTACTACGGCTCCCCGTAGTATCACCACAACCTCTCACTGGATAGTGAGTACTACGGCTCCCCGTAGCATCACCACAACCTCTCACTGAATAGTGAGTACTACGGCTCCCCGTAGCATCACCACAACCTCTCACTGACTCATTGAAACTGCAGCTTCCCGCAGTCTTACCGCACTTACTCTTACCACTTCACAATCTCATCCTCAGGTTGACACCACACTGCGATCATTAACTCATGACCTGCGGCCCAGCATAGATAGGTACACACACACCCCTCCAGGCTAAGCATCACTACTTCGGACGACCACCGTCGTGACAAAACCTCTTTTTCTCGCTGCAATTCACATTCTCAAATAAATCCATTTGATGTCAATTAGCTGAAGGGCCCCCACCGGAACCATAGACACTGGATACACCACTAGTCATCTCAAACTCAAAACTCAAAATAATCCGAGATTTAGGACATTAAACTTGGATACCCCGGAATACCATCACAACGCCTCACAGTGTCTTGACTCTACCACTGATCTCATACTCATGGCATCATACTCAGATACCGCATTGCTTCCTCGGAATCTCGCAACCGGTCTTTCTCTCATGCCACTTGTAACCCCGGAATACTCCATCTCCCAAATTAAAACACAGAGAAATTGCCAACGACTCAGAACACGAAGATGACAATCCGAAACTTCCTCCTCTATTGCTCAAAACTCATGCAAGAATACTTATAACGACCCTGAAGTTGGTTGCCCATACTCTGAACCAGAAATTCTCAACCGCCGAACTAACCTCACAAGCCAACCACCTCGAATTCACCATTTTAACCTTGAAGGATTCCTAACCACTACAAGGTCTCCGACTAACGGCCACTTGCCATGGAGACACTCATCCTTCCTCAAACACGTACCACATGCACTATCTCGCTCTGCACCTCTCCTTGACCACCAATAACCCTGGTCTCAAGAATCTGCACCGCATGCCTCTCTATCCAGTTCTCTAACCGCTCTTGAACAAATCTCTGATCTCCTCAAAAGTACCCAGTTCTCCCCCACTCAGGGTTCGAACCCTCACCAATTGGTTCACTAATAATCTAACCCACAGACTGTTTTTACCAATAACATCGCACCTACTCTTGGAAGGTGATACGTAATGCTCGATGATCTCCCCGATGGAGGTCAAGCAATTCCAAATACCCCGAATCTCCGATGAAATCCTCAGAAACTTCTCATCATGACTACCTCTAGTCATTCAGAATCTCGTACCATCCCACTACCGGACATCTCAACTTTCCAGTCGTAACCCTGACTCTCAGTCTGAAAATAACGAACTAACATATTCCTCATCATCGACTCTTCAACCAACGTTCCATCACGTGGGTTGTAATAAGAGTGGAGTCCTCATTACCACACTCGATACTCATCATAGACAGTAAGAGCCACCGCCCCAAAATCCTCTTCTTGATTGTCCGACGCAACGGCTAATACATGCCCTACTTTACTCAAATAGGGTGTTGTCCTTGGCCATCCCAGTCCCCGCTGACAACCTGCTCATGCTCTAACATTACCTCTCGGCTGACATGCTGCCCAAATACTCTGATGAAAGATCGTAACCAAAGCCACCCCACAGGGCTCACCCCAACCTTGGAAACCGAAAATCTCAATACCTCTCCTGTTTCCCACAGGAACAGAAATAG